AGAGCAAGACCCTGTCTCAAAACGAAACAAAAAAAAAAGCCCCTGTAAACTGTAAAGTGCTATACAAATTCTTCCATTCAATGACTTTATGGAGCCCCTCCTACGTGCCAGGCACTGTTCTAGGCAACACAGATGGAGTACAGAATAACAAACCAATCCTTCCCTTGTGGAGCCCATGTTATAGAGAGAGCCAACAGTGTTCTAACTGGGAGCATTAGACTGAGTCAGGAAACCTCCCCAGTGTCCTGAATCTGCCACGGGCCACAGCCACTAGCCTGGGATGATCATGGCATCTCTGGGTGCCAGTGTCTTCACCTGGAAAATGAGGGCTTGGTCAAGGTGATTTCTAGACTTTTGAAAATATAAAAAAAAGTATGGTTTTCCTGCACATTCAGCCATACAGATATTCCTTCCATGCCTGGCCCATCAAGAAAATCGTGAACACCATAACAAAGTTATCCCCACAGACTCCAGCCTGTGACCAGTCCCTGACATCATGTTGTAAATGAAACATGGGACCAAAGTTTTGAGATACTACAAAAAAGGCAAATTATGAAATCCAGAGAGTGCTGATTAGAAAATTTCAAATTGGCTTAGCAAGATCCATCTTAATGAAAGAAAGACTATAAATTACAGGCAGGTCGGAATGGTTCGACCATCTCTAGTTTTTAATGCAAGGTGCCCTGGGGAATAACTTCATGGCTTCAAGTGATTAATTGGGAATAATGTATTCTGATGGGAAAGGGGAGTGAGGAAAGAAATTCATCTCTCACCAGTGAATTACTCCTCCTGGCTAAGAGCTTCACATCTTCAGTGTTAATTGTGCTTCTTTTCGCATGTCTGTGGAAAGGGCAGAAACAAGTCACCAAAATGTTTGGTATTATTTAAAGTTTTGATGAATCATGAAAGTTCATGGTCAGACTTCAAACTAGCAAAGATCTCTAAGTAGCCCATCTTTTTAGACCAAGGTCATTAAGCAACACCGACACAAAAATAAGTGAAGTTACTAGCCAAGATATCGATTAAATAAAGAGACCAAGAGAAAGCAGACGCCCGTCTGTCCACCTTCACCTGAAGACCACGGGTGCCTGAAGCCTGAGAACGCAGAAAGGAGCCTGAGGAGTTAAAACTCTCCCAAAAGTGACTTGCTTGGGCACAGTGGTCACAACGAACACCACAGAAATAGCAGGAAGGTTAGCGTACAACTTTAGTGCAGAGAAAGTGAGTCTCACAATACAAAGATCGCCTCTGCTTTAACAGATTAAGTAGAAGAACAAAGAATCTCCAGGAAGCATGGCTTTACTTGTATCAAGATCCCGAAACTCTTCCCTCAAGGGCTAACTTACAGGAAAAAGCATATGCAGATGCCTCCTCATGTCCTGTTTCCCAACAAGTACTTAATGCATTCCCTCCACAGTATCCCAGGTAGAACAAAGAACAACCTTGAAACTGGAGTCCGTTTCCTGCTCACAACTGGGACTCAAATACTCCAGTCCTCTTATCTTTGCTGTGAAAGATAATTCGAGATAATAAGCTCTATTCAATGATGTATTACTCTGATTACACCCTTTCTTGCCATTTCTAACTCCCCCCCTCAAAATAAGGAAGAACTTTGTAAGCAGAAATAAGTAGGAATCTTTGTATCCTTAATAACTAGCAAAGTGGCCAGCATACATAGTGAGTCCTCACTGAGTACCTGCTGAGTTAAAAAATAAAGTCACACAGAAATTAGACTCCATAATTTGACCAAATTAATCCTTTACATTCTACTAAATGTATAAATACCACGTCATCTCATCATGGTTGACAATATCTGCTTGTCATGAGATAATATCCATTTCAGGAGATAACTTCTAATTAGCAACCTACAAGGACCAGGACGGAGGAGAAAGGGGAAAAGTCAGACAGAAGATGATATAATCGCAGCCACAGAGCACAAAGCCAGTCTACGGATGTTCTGGGTGGAGAATATTAAGCACCCATGGACACAGCGTGGCCCAGTCTCAATCACACAACCCGGCTGCTATCTGTATGTACATTCTTCTTAAAGTACAGTAAAAGGAACAAGCACACTGAACTGTTCACAGAGTGAGCTTATCTTATGTGTTCACAAGGAAGTGTCTAGAAAATGACCCTCTAAATCCTCTCTACCACTCAGCTTGGCCTCTGGTATCTCTGTACCCCTTTCCTAGATGGAGGGGCAGGTGTAGCCTATGCCAGCCACTGTATATCACAGACTATCCTAAATTAAAGTTCTGACTCCAGAAAATTACTCTAGGGAAAGTAACAAAGCAATTTTTCATGTAACGCTCTTAGCAACACAGGTTTTAAAGACTATTCCCTAATGTTCCTGGAATTGATTTACCGTAGAATATCTATCTTCTTCAAAATTAAGAATATGAGGAGACTAGAGATTTCAGAGCTAAATAAGGGAAATTCACAACTTAAATTGGGAGCTGGTTTTCCAAAGTTTATAGGTAGATTGATTATTTGGAATTTAAATGCATTTTATCATAGAAACAATGTTACAAATACTGGTTAGGTCCCCACACCAGCCTACAAAGACTATTTAATATAAAATTGACCTGAAACAGTACATATTTTGGATTTCTCGAAGTGGGGTAATCATAGTCTTGGGAGTAGAGGAAGCATGATAGGGACAACTCAAAGCCACAGGATACCCAAAGCCGACCTTCTGGGAATACCAATATTCAGGGATAAACGTTGAAACAATACTTTTTTGTATGAAAGCAAACTGAAATATCATGAAAATGAATATACAATTCAGACAAAGGATGAGTCTTCAAAGAAACTTTGCACGTATGGATTGCGTCAGGAAGAAGGGCACTGCCCCAACCCGCAAGAGCCTCATGACTGGGCTCTGCACTCGCCCGGGGGCTCAGGAGGCAGCCTCAGGAGCGCTGGACGCTCACGGACACTGCCGAAGATGAGCCATCTCTTGCAGTTAAGAAAGTCGCTGGTGGTCGATCTTGGAGAACAGCAGCTGAAAGCCTTTGCACACACTTTTTTACAGACAAGATGACGTCCTTCCTTGCGGAGCCGACAGTCTAAGCCTCTCTCTCTCACCTCCCCCACACTTCACCCCTCAGTACCCAGCAGAAGAAAAGTCAACCGTGTATGTAATTATAAAGACCCAGACTACCTGAAAGCTTAATGTGTTACTACGCTAAATGGTTCTAATTTCATTTTTATTTCTAGAATCTTTACAAAAGTATTTTAAATTTTTAATTGTCTTTTTCCACAGCTAACACAGAAATGGCAAGTAAAGGTGATAAATATATTTCGGGTTGGGGGAGGGCAACTGCTTGAATTCAATGAATAAGCCACATGAGCTATCAGTAGCCCATTGTACTATCTTATCCCTTTTGGCCAAGCTGGAGATGCTACACGGTTTTTAGGGACTAATGTATACACGAATAGGAAAGATTTAGAGCCTGCCCTCCGAGAACCTACTGCTTTAATTCATTCAAAATATGCATCTGAGAAACAAAGAGCTAACGGGAGCAAGGTGAAAAGCACCGGGTGTGGGAGAGGCTGGCACCGAATGGAAGTGGCAGCAAATTAGAAAGCTTTAGCCCTTTCAGGCCTTAGTCATTCAAATTGCTTCATAAAAGCAATTCGCTGCGATTGTTTTCAATTACCTGGGGTACTAATTGAAGAGAGGAGCATAAATCACCTGTAAGAGCTAGAGCTTTACCAGCTGAAAGCAAGTCACCCACTTTCCAAGGAGCGTCTCTCACTCGTGACAAAGGTGGCAAATGAAAGCCCCGGCCTGTCATTATCTGTCCACCTGTGAGCAATTACCACATGGAGCACGCAGTGGCCCACTCTGCAGAGGGGCGGCCACCCCAGACACCACATCTCAGACCCTGAGCCATCAAGCCCTCCCGAAGACACGTTTTAAAACAGGCTTACTCCACTCCCATTCAGACTCCTACAGACGTTATTCACATCTTTTAAATGAATGACTTGGGTTCTTTAACAAAAAACACTTGGAAAACTTCAAAAAATGCCCAAACAAGTCTGAATCGACATGATTAAAGCAGACATTATATTCTTGCAGAGTCACGATTAGAGACAAGCCTCCACAAAACACACAAAAAAACGAATAGCTAACGCTTTCCTGAAATATCCCACCAGATGGAGAGTCTCAAAAGAATGTAAATAGACGCAGCAACGGATATTCAAGGTCTCTACCCACCTTGCAAACATTTCAAGGTCTTTGGCAAAATTTTCTGAAAAGAAAAAAAAGACAAGACATACACTTTAGCTACCCTTACCTCAGTCTTGATTTCTACAGTCAGTACGGTGACCAATATTAATACAAAAAACCCTGTTAAAGGTGAGAGGAGGCGCTTCCAGCAGCCCCGCCATTTTATAACAGCCTTTTTAGCTTTTTTATTCATTATGACCTCCTTGTCCTTCCCAGAACTCTCTACCCTCTATTGCAAGCCTTCCGTTAATTGTGACTGCACCTTTGGTTTCTAGAAACTATCCTTTAACTTTAAATTCTTCTACAGTTAGGGCTTGTAAAGACATTAATTTCCTCTGAAGTCAAGCAAATACCAATGCCATAAGTTCAGCTGTCAAATAAACTATGGGCGATATAAAAATGTTATAAAGCATTGAAATAAAAAATGTAATGTCTAATGTTATCGGGGCAGCTTAAAACACAATAAAATAAAGGTGTTAGCGCCCCAGTGTTAGCGTAATAGAAAAAAAAAAAAAAACAGTTCTTCCCATAAAATATCCAAATCTTACAGCCAAGAAAAAGAAATGTTTCATGAAGAATGCGTGATGATGACAATTTCTCTGCTTGCCAGACATACCACAGCTCCCACCTACACACTGCTCCCAGACAAAATCAGCCTTTGGAATTTATACAGACAGGAAGACCAAGGCTTCATACCACACTGTCGAAAAGTCATCTCCGAAATTGCTGCAATGGTTTGTTTGCTGAACTGCATCTCTTTGTCCAATGCAACTTCTTCGCAAAGACAACCAACAGTATAGTGAACTGCTGCCTTTAGCCTCTGGGAAAAAAATCAAAACACTTCGTGGGTAAGGTTGCAAATGGGAACTTTCACACCTTAAAAAATTAACACCAGGGAGAGAGTCTGCTCTGCCTAATTCCTTCAGCATCTTCCATGATGGCTGAGTAACTTTTCAAGCATACTAATAAATCAATGAGACCCTCTGGAGTGTGACTTGTAGAAACATTACTTCCTTGTTGATGGTTATGATTTAGGTCAAGTAAAGATAAGGAGTTATGAGGGCAGGTCAGCAGGGAAAGAAATCGGAGTATCTGCATGACTTTACTCATTCCACAACTTGCGAGTTCCCACTGAGCAAGGGCGTATGCTAGGTGTTTGGGGAACACAGTGAAAAACCAGACAGAGGATTTTGCCCTTCAGGCGGGTAATCAAGTACATACAGCAGGATCCCATGCCTCAGCTGCAAGTCCCTGGCAGCTCCAGGCCTGCATGTCACAAAGGACAAAAATACAGGACAAGACCAGGAAAGGCTCCTGAGGGCACACCTGACCCTCCTGATTTGGAAGTCTGCTAGCCCACCTCAGCAGGGTCTTCACTGTTCCTCAGCAACCCTTTCAGGTACTAAAAAACATCTCTTCCCCATGCAGAGGAGTAAAAGAGAGAGAGAGAGACAGAGAGAGAAAGAGAGAGAGAGAGAGAAGGAAGAACCTCAAGATAAAAGAAAAACAAGCTAAGCAACAGTCTTGGTCGCCTGTCAACAAGCTTTTGTGGAGCCATTCAGAGTGTGTTCTGTCTCTGTGCCAAAGACAGAGCTGAACTGGACATGGAGACAGCTAAAACTAAGCATAAAATCTACCAGCAAGTGTTCACTATATAGGCAAGATGAGGAGGAACTGCAAAAACACAAGTCCAGGACCCTGGGATAGAGGCCAGATGAGAAAGGCATCTACATTCCTCAGTTTCAGATATCACAAGACTAGGTTAAGTTGAGGCCCCTGGAAGGAGGAGCCAAAGAACCATAGACCTAGGAGGTATGAACTCCAAGGTATTTTTTTTTTTTTAGAGACAAGCATCTGGGTATGTTGCCCAGGCTGGAGTGCAGTGGCTATTCACAGCTATTAATATCACAGCCTTGGATACCTGGGCTCAAGCGATCCTCCTGTCTTAGCCTCCAGAGTAGCTGGGACAACAGGCATACTCCACCTCTCTGAATCAAGGTCATGTTTTTTAGGTATGGATGAGGTGGGGTGGGGTTACAGGACAAGGATCGATCCTGAATGCTCTTGGCTCTAGAAGTTTTCTCTGTTCCTCCCACACACATCCCTCCTGGCCTTCATCCATGCTGCAGATACCACTGCACTTGGGCGCTAAATCACTAGACTCTAAACTCCTCAAGGGCAGGACCCTGTCAGTTTTGTTTACTGCTATCTATCTAGTACCATGAATGGCTGGTTGAATGAATGGTGGGATCTTCTACTGGCTCACCACAGCTGAGGGTCAAATTTCTCAGCCCGTCTTTGCAGCCTCGTTTCATCAGTATTTATTGACTATTGACAGCCAGGCTCTGTTGTACAGGCTGAGAACCCAAAAATGAAAGGAAAACCCCTGCTCTCAAGTTTATCTCCCAATACACCGTTGCCATGAATGGACTCTTCAAAACCGTCAATGTCATGAAAGACAAAAAGAGGGTGGAGAAGACCGAAAGGATGGGATTACTAAATGCAAGGCCCATCCTTGATCTGATCCTGGATCAAGGAAACAAGATGGCTAAAAGAACCATCTTTAGGACAATTGTAAACATCCGAATATGGACTGTACATTCAATAATAGGATTTGATCAATATTAAACCTCCCGAGCGGGGTAATTTAGAAATGATGTAGGAGGATGCCCTTGTTCTTGGGAGATGCATACTCAAGTATTAAAATGTAAGGGTGAAATGTCAAGATATCTGCAATTACTTCTCAAATAATTCAGAATAGAAAGCAAGGAAACATAGCAAAATGCTGAGAAGCGAACACTCTTTAGACAGCAAACTGCCGCGTCCTGAGCTCATCCTCGTGTTTCCTCAGTCAATCCTCTCAGGCTACCACTCCGGGCCTTTCTTTTCACCACTTCACAGCACTGTAACGTCCTGACTCTGCACCCTGCATTCCCGGTGCTGATTAAAGGAACGACTGGAATACCTACAACTACCTGAGAGGTGGTTATTTTTACTCCGATTTTACATAGAAGAAAACTGCATTTGGGCCAGAGTCGACACAATCACAGTGTGGGGCGGCCTGCCTGGTCTGAATCCCGGCTCTGCGGCGCGGCCCCCTCACCCGTAAAGAGGGGCGCTCAGGGTTCCGGGGACCGGCATTTCAGAGCGCTAAGTGCGTTACCTCGATTCTCTCCTTTCACGCCCACATTCCACCCTCACAACCCCGCGTGAGAAGGAGAGACCCAGGCCTAGTCCCGAAGCCGGAAGGCCGGCGTCGGAACCCGGAGCCTGCGCGCTCCCGGGGGCTCTGCGGGAACCAGCCACCTCCCCCGGGAACGGCGCAGCCCGAGTCCCGCCGCGTTGCCACGGAAACCGCCTCCCAGCACCTCCCGCGGCCGCTGAGCCGGGGCATGCGCAGAGGCGCGGGGTGGCCGGCACCGGGGGTGGGGGGTCGGGCCCCAAAAAGAAGGCAACTGAGGCTCCGTTGCCTTTTCATGTCCCGAAACTCGTCGCCATCCTTGCCCAGCCCACTCGGGGCCCCCTTTTCCTGTACCTGTAGGTAAGAGAATCGCTGCTGCTCCTCGGCCTCCGCCTCCTCCTCCATCACAGCGGGCCGACTCGGGCAAGCGTGCGAGGGTGGAAAGGGGCGGTGGCCCCACCGCCCGGTCGGATTTTCCCGCCGGGTCTTGGGCGACGGGCCGCGCGGGAGGACAAAGCGCGAAGCTCCTTCCTGCCTGGCGCGCGGCCCCTGGCGGCGGCTGCGTGGACGGACTCTTCGCCGTCGGCGTTTGCCGAGGTGGCCCGGCGAGGACCGGGGCGTCACCTCCAGGTCACTGCTGCACACCAGACCCTGACTCTGCTCCTGGCACAGGGCTTGACAAGCAGCTCTCTGCAAAAACCTGTGCAAGTTTGTTACAATAAATTTTACTGACATAAAAGATATATAGTCCATGCTTTACAAATAATGAAATGCGATACTCTCTTGTAAACTCCATACAGATACCTTCAGTAGGTATATCTTGCAAAATTCACCATCAATTTCTATAATTCTATCACCAACGATAATGTAACAAAATCAGACACAAATCAATGCTAGATTATCCCATTCACCTCATTGCCACTGATGAAGGAGTATAGTTTTGACATGAATGTTGACTGATTTTTTCCTTTATTCATTTAAGAAGTGAAGCAATGCAACCAACGTTCGATCTTTCTTTTTTTTTTTAAGACAGTCTCGCCCTGTTGCCTGGGCTACAGTGCCATGATGTCAGCCTAGCTCACAGCAACCTCAGACTCCGCTCAAGCAATCCTCCTGTCTCAGCCTCCCAAGCAGCTGGGATTACAGGTGTGGACCACCATGCCCAGCTCATTTTTTCTATTTTTAGTAGAGACAGAATCTCACTCTTGCTCATGGTGGTCTGGAACTCCTGACAAGGAGTCCTCCCGCCTCAGCCTCCCAGAGTGCTAGGATTATAGGCGTGAGCCACTGTACCCTGCCCCACCATTGGATCTTTACTCCTTCCTAACTTACAATAGGTATTTCATTCCTTCTCCACTTCACTCTTTTGAGGCTTCACTCACACCTTAATGACGTGAGCGAGGGATTCTTTTGCTCAATCAAATAATAGTATTCAAGTACTGGAAGAATATTTCCTCATTTTTTTGTGCTATTCACAATGTAAAGGCCATGAACATGTTACAGTTTCAAGTTTAATCTGCATTATTAACATTTCTCCATCACTTTCTTAAGTAGACAATCACCAACAAATCAAACCCTCATTTGTAGCATTGGCCCATTTCCATGGTGTCAATACCCCCATCACTGTCACTTTCAAGCTGCCAGGATGAGGTCACTGATCTCGGAATTGGGAATAGATGCTGTGCACACATCCACCACACAGGTACGACAGATGTCAATAATGTCAGGAACATAAGTAATAGTGACAGGTAAATGTAGTGACATAAGAAGTGATGAGTTTTGAGTGTTTTGTTTAGTTGGTTAGCTTTTCTGTTTTAGAGACAGGGTCTTGCTCTGTCATCCAGGCCGGAGTGCAGTGGCTTGGTCATAGCTCATTGTAACCTTGAACTCCTGGCTCAAGCGATCCTCTCACCTCCACCTTCTGAGTAGCTGAGACTACAAGCACATGCCACCAAATCTGGCCAATTTTTTAAATTTTTTGTAGAGACAGGACCTCATTGTGCTGCCCAGACTGGTGTGGAACTCCTGTCCTCAAGTGGTCCACCTGCCTCAGCCTCCCAAGGTGCTGGGATTACAGGCTTGAGCCACCACACCCAGCCAACTTTTGAGTGTGTATTACCTTTGTTTTTAATATGATTTATTTAAGCCTAAGTTTATGTAAGTTAACTTTTAATAATGGCTGCGTTGACCGGGCAAGGTGGCTCACGCCTGTAATCCTAGCACTCTGGGAGGCCGAGGCGGGAGGATCGCTTGAGGTCAGGAGTTCGAGACCAGCCTGAGCAAGAGCAAGACCCCCGTCTCTACTGAAAAAAATAGAAAGAAATTAGCTGGACAACTAAAAATATATATAGAAAAAATTAGCCAGGCATGGTGGCGCATGCCTGTAGTCCCAGCTACCCGGGAGGCTGAGGCAGAAGGATTGCTTGAGCCCAGGAGTTTGAAGTTGCTGTGAGCTAGGCTGACTCCACGGCATTCTAGCCCAGGCAACAGAAGAAGGCTTTGTCTCAAAAAAATTAAAAAAAAAAAAATGATAATAATAATAATAATGGCTGTGTTTGTCTCTTTGTTTTAATATTTCCCAAAATTTAGAAATCAGCTCCCACTAACCTGTAGGCACTGGTTCTAGCAAATGTCTCGTGGAAAAGGTGCGATACCTCTCCTCGCCCCTCAGAAGGGTCATGGCTCACGCTCCTCTTATAAAAGGCAAGTAGTCAGAAAAGGATATCCTTGTGTGATTCTTCACCTGCAATGGCTCACTTTTTCCTCTGTCACTTTCTCCACAGAGGTAGTAAGAGGGGAGGCTGCCTGTACAGTCTTCCAACTGAGCACAAATAAAAATAAACACCAATCGTCCTTCCTTTCTTAGGTGGCTTCCCATTTGTCAAGAAAGGCTGATGACCTCACCATGCTGGGAGAAGCTGCTGGGTCTACAGAGAAGACTGGGATGGATTAGGGCCTTCCGAGGCTGTCAACATGTAAAGCCCTCTATACCAGCTCCACCCCACATGCAATTCAAAAGGGACACAACACTTCACTTTGGAATAAGCGTGACGTCCAAAAATACGATTTTCCCCCTAATGATTGCAATGAGGCCTTAGAAAACAATTATCAAAGTCTCATTTCTTTTAAAACTGTTGGGGGTCCTTGCTTTGCTGGTGATGAGGGCCTGCTGTGCCTTTTATTAAGGAGCCTCTGCGTTGTCCCTGCTCAGTGAGATGCTGCTGAGATGCAGACCTAAAGCAAACATTTAGTAAGCACCTGTGGTGCACCAGGCATGTGGGCTCTCCTGGGACTCACTGTTAAGGGACGTGGACACTCATGTCTTTATCTAACAACTAATCACAATACAGTGTGTCCTTTCAACTTTGAATTAATATTAAACAAGTGTTTACTGCGTGCCAGGCTGGTAGTGTGTGTTGGGGCTCAGGAAACTATGCCCCAAATTGTGGTGCTTTGGCATGCTCAGTACTAGGAACTGGTACCAGGCAGTTGCCCACCTCTCAGCTGAGTCCTAAGTGAGGGCACCGAGGAGGCAGCCCCCTCCTCCCTGACCGCTGCAGCTCTCCCTGTCTCCAGTGGGAAGCGGCCAGGTGACCCCAGGCGATCCCAGGCCTGCAGCAGGAAAGGCAGGGTGCTGGGCAGTGAGCAGTCCCGGCCCTACAGCAGACTGTGGGTCCAGAGCCGAGCGCCCTCTCATGAGCCTGGTGACCCTGAGCAAGTCACAGGACCTCTCCAAGCCTCAGGTCCCTCATTTGTAAAGCAGCGACAATAGTCTCAACCTCGCAGGGTAGTAGTGAGGTTTATTGCCCCACACAGGGGCTCATGAAATAGTAACAGTTATTTCCCAAGCAGTTTCTATGCTTGGCACCTTACATGTTACCTGTTTTAAAACAGTTGCTTCCCAGGCCTAAAGAACATTATTCTAGTGATGTGTGCAATACACAGGCCCTTCAGAGTCTGAGAAAAGGCCAAGGGCTAAGGGATCACATTACTGATTACTTGATGAACAGGTAGCCCTATAACCTGGCCACTAGATGTCAGCATTGCGCCGCTGTGTGAAACCAAGTGGTGGCTGCTCATCGCAACATTGCAGTTGACACTGAGTGCTTGTTTTGCACCTTCCCTGGTTCTAGGCACTCCTTTTAGATCCTACCTGCACTCAGAATAAGTACTCTTAGCCCCATCTTATGTGAGGAAACACAGTCACAAAGGCGAAAGAACTTTGCCCGAGGTTAAACCACCAGGAGGTTGTAGAGCCCAGATTTGATTATGAGCAGCCTGGCTCGGAGTCTGTGCTTTTTTTTTTTCTTCTGAGACAGGGTCTCCCTCTGTTGCCTGTGCTAGAATGCAGTGGTGTCATAGCTCACTGCAACCTCAAACTCCTGACCTCAAGCGATCCTCCCACCTCGGCCTCCCAGAGTGCTAGGATGACAGGCATAAGCCACTGCGCCCGGCCTTCCATGAGCACATGAGATCAGGATTTTCGACTTCTCTCAATGGACAGGTAGTACCTAGTACAATGCTTGGCACATCATAGGTATAGAATAAATATGCCGAATGAATGAGTAAATAAATTGTACACATTGGGAGGTAAGATAGTCTAGTGATTAAGTGTGTGGACTCTGGTATCAGAGGGTTCAAATTCTAGTTCTACAGTAGCTGTGACCTTGGACAAATTACCGAACATCATTTGCTTTATCTGTAAAGTAGGGATAATAATAGCACCTACTTCAGAGGGTGTCGAGAGTATTCATTGAGTTCACATATATAGCACTTAGAATGGTGGCGACAATGCACACTCTCAGTGTTAGCTATCATTATGTTTTTATATGTATGCCATTTATAACTGTATGAGACCCCCAGGAAAACCCCCAAATAGGGTCAGAGCTCCTGACTCCACCAGGTAACAAATTTTCCTTTTCAGGAGGAGCACATGTGGCAGGTTGTGTTTTCCAAAGATGGTCTCTTGACCCACATGCTCCTCTGGAACCTTCCACTCCCCATCAAGAAGTAGCATCTAATCCTCCCTTTGAATCTGGGGGGCTTATGACTCACTTGTACCCGATACAGTGCAGCTCTACTCATGCTGAGTAGCACCCACGGCTGGGGCTTGAAAGGCAGTGTCCTTCCACTTTGCTAGCAGGAACACTCACCTTTGGAGCCCTGAGCCACCATGTAAGATGTGTGCCCTGCCTGAGGCCACCGTGTGGTAAGGAAGCCCAAGGCCACACGGTGAGGCCACACGGTGAGGCCACATGTACTTTTTCCAGCTCGTAGCCCTCACTGAGGTCCCAGCCAACAGCCAGCATCAACTACCAGATAAAAGAGGACACCTGCAGGCACTCCCAGCCATGGTGCCACCCCTGCCTTGCAGGTCTTCCCCGGGGAGGCCCCAGACATTGTGGAGCAGAGACAAGCTGTCTCCTTGTGCTCTTCCCAGATTCCTGGCCCACAGAATTAGGAGAATAATAAAAATGATGGTTATTTTACACCCCTGAGTTTGGGGTGGTTTGTTACACACCAGTCAGTAGTAAGATTACACACCAGTCACTGTGTAAGATTAGTAGATGGTGAACATATATATACTAACATACATACTAAACATAGTATATTGAAGGTCTACCCCTTCCAAAAAGATGGGCTCCACATCTGCCTCAAAGAGCATAGAACTCTGGCGAAGCTCTGCCTAAAGTCTCTGCTTAGAGAGCCTGTCTGCTTCCTTGTCTGATCCATGTCTTTATAACTGACTGCTTTATGTCCCAAATAGAGCAGAAAGAGTTATCAGCTGAACTCTGACCAGAGTCCTACAATTTCTACCGAAGGGAAGCCCTTTGCTGGAATAGCCACCATATTGTCCCTGCGGTGCTTCGGCTGGACAGGACTGACGAGGCTGAGGGCAAAACCCCATCTGCATCCATCTCCATCCGTGCCCTGAATTGTTCGGCAACCTCACCTTCAGCAGCAGGCAGGTAACGAACAGCAAACCGTTAAACAGTGCCCACTGTGTGGCAGGCTCTGTTCCAAGTGTCTTATGTTTCATTCTCAAAACAGTTCTGTGAGAGGCGCTATCATCATCCCTTTTCTACAGCTGAGAAAATACACACGCAGAGGGTCAGTAACTTGTAAGGTCCTATCGTGAACTTCTGTGGGACAAAGGTTTGAGCCCCGTCAGAATGGCTCCAAAGCCCAGGCTCCTAACCATCAGGCAGGCTGTTACTTTAGCTAACACAGTGGGTTCTTTAAATTGGTAAGTATTGGAAATAAGACACAGGATGTAAAATTCAAAAGGCATAAGGCATATATGGTCACTCCCTGTCAAGTACTGTTATATTCTTTTAACAATAACAATAGCATCCATTTGTTAAGCCCTTACTATGTGCCAGATACTGTTGCAAGTACTTTATATATAATCTCATCTATCGCCACAGGAACCTGAGGAAGTAGTTATTAACCCCATTTTACAGATGGAGAAGTGGAAACTAGGGTGCTTAAATAACTTGCCCAAGGTGAGGATGCTCGTAGACAGTAGTTGGATGTGACCAGATCTGCCTTCACCCCCGCAATCAGTGCTCTGATGCCCATCCCATCTATACTCCAGCACTTCACTATGGTAGACAGACCAGCAGCACAGGCAACACGCGAGAGCTTGTGAGAAATGCAAAATGTGGGGCCCCGTCCCCAGCCTGCTGAATCAGAATCTGCATCTTTTCAAAATCCCAGGGGTAGTAGTCCTGCGCTCCTACAAGGAGCCTTGATCTGTTCTTGACCTCTATACCCGCTGGGAGGCGCGCCCGCCTGGAACCTTTGGAGGGCTGGTGTGCAAAGCACATTCACCACTGGTGCTGAGAATATTTGGTTTCTAACTCTCAGCAGAAACACCACCGTTTCAGGGGCAGGCACACCCTGAATGGCAGTAAGTGTCGCCACTTACATAGATGATGATTATGTGCCAAGCACCATTCTGTTTTTACTTAGTGAATCCTCAAAATAGCCTCAAGGAGACAGGGACTATTATTATCATCCCATTTTACAAATGAGAAAACTGAGAGCAGAGATAGTGAATAATGTCCACAAAGTCATACAGCTGGTAAGTAGAAGGGCTGGATTTGAAACCAAACTCCACCACTCATAGCTTCTTGAGAGGTAAGCAGGGAAGGGCTGAAGTTGATTCCCTTCTGATTATTAGCATTTCAAACATATTTTGGGCAATCCAGCTTTACTTTAGGTCCTTTTCACATGACAGCCTCTGACCTCTCACTGTTGTTTCTCTCTCATTTTCCATTCCAGAAACATCCATCTGCTTTAGAGCAAGGTCAAAAGATTACCTTTGAGAAGTGCCTTTCACAACCCATAAAGAACCCCGAGTCATGAGCAGCTACTAAAGCTCTCTTAAATTTGCAGGTGGGGGCCGGAGGGGTGAGTGGGGCCTGGTCTGGCTAAGTATGCACATCCAGGCTGAGTTTACAAAGTTGATGATTTAATGGAAGGGACTGTGTCTCTCACAGGTCAGCTCTGCCTGCCCCTGCACTCTTCTAAGATAGAGGTCAGAGGTCAAATTATAGACACCAGCTGTTAAAACATGGCAGCTGTTTGCCCTCACTATTCTTAGGCCACTCTTAGGACTTTCCAAGCACTCCCGGGAATCACAGGGAGTTAAACTGTCCGAGTGAAACAGTTACATTGGCCCCAGGCCACATAACAGTAACAGCATGCTGGTAGCTTTTTGCTTTTTTCTAAGTAAGTAAGATGAAGCGACCTGCTCTAAGGAGCAGGCTTAGATTGATAAAAATACCACAACAAATCCGCTGGCCTGACTTAGAGACAAATAGAAAGAGACAGGCATGTCGGCCACACCTGGTGGCTCATGAGCCTGCAGTCCCAGCTACTCAGGAGGCTGAGGCAGGAGGATTGATGGAGCCCAGCCAGGAGTTCGAGGTTGCAGTGAGCTGTGATGATGCCACTGCACTCAGCTTGGGTGACAGAGCTCAAATTAACAAAGAAAACAAAAGACAGGCATGGGAAAGGAAACAAATCAGGCCAAGCTGAGCCTGTCATTTAAGTGTAATAATCTAAAACGTTTATTATCTAGTATTTGACATACAAAAAGACACAAAGAATGTTACCATGAACATCCATGTACTCACTGCCCAACTTAAGAAATAACACGACCAACCCATTAGAGCCTCCTCACCTTTCCCTCCAGAGTTAATCATCACCCTAATTACGGGTTTCTAGGACCATTCCAGAGTCTTTTTTTTTTTTTTTAAGAAAACAAAGAGGAAAAAATGAACAAGGCTAGAAGGAAACAAACTGATTCAAATGCAGTGAAAGCACCGCAGATCTTTCTGCCAGTGCGGTAATGGCTCAGTGTGGCCGAGGTGACAACAAGAGACTGGAGGAAGAGGATAAATATAATGTGGCCTTTATTGAGTAGAGGAGAAAGGAATTCAGCTGCATGATACAAAGTTTCCAGTTTGATCAAATTGGACAAACGCCTTCCCATCTATCTGATGAGAGCCTCACTACACGCAGGGGACCCGTGGAAACGACTGCTGCAAGGAGCTGGTTGTCACACGCATGACCAGCTCCCGGTCAGTCCCAAGAAGCAGGACAGAGGGCAGGATGGCTCTCACAGAACTACTTTACAAATAGGCTCTGGCCTTTTCAGGAGTGTCTTACAACACTTTAAGAGATCTGAGCAGAGAAGAGGGCAAAGGGCCACGTAAGCAGTGCTGTGTGGCACGTGGAATGTCCCGGTCTATGGAATCATGGAGGGTGACACAACAGTCTGATCAGGCATTGTATGAAGAGGACGACACGCTGCCACCATGGCCTGTCCAATTAGTGTGGAGAAACTGTCCCGGTTTGGCTAAGAGTTCATAGGTGTGAGCCCCAAAGTAATCCCGCTGAGCCTAGAAAACAAGACATGAGGTTGGTTAGGAAAATCGCATGTAGGTGGCCAACGCTCAGGGACCAGCAGGGACCACAAGCTTACCTGGATGAGGTTGGCCGGCAGCATCTCATGTCTGTAGCCGTCATAGAAGGAGAGGGCAGTGGTGAAGCAGGGCATGGGGATGCCTGCCTGGACCCCAGTGCTGACTGCCCGCCGCCAGGAGGCCTGAGCAGAGAGCAAGGCAAAGGATCAGTGCTTTGCCCCCAGAGACGCTAACTGGTTCCACTCCAAGGACAGATTTTCATGCACATCAGTGCTGGGAAATAGAAGTTGCCCCAGAGCAAACCTACTGAGACGGAAGGCACATGCCACCAGCTCTAGGCTACATACCTGGCAGTTTTCAACAGCTGACTTAAAGAAGTCATCTAGTAGTAAGTTCTGAAGTTCTGGGTTTCGATCAAATGCATCCTTTATCTTTCCTAGGAATACACTGAAATAATC